CTACCTCACAAATCTCCACAAGAAGCCTCAGACAAGGAGAAAAGAAAATATCACAAAAGTCCGGACTAGTAACCTACAAAACAATGTAGTAGCAAGGGGTGAGTACCAAACCACGCAGTACTCATCAAGTAAGCCTCTAAACACAAGCTAAGGGGATAGAATACGAGTACTCCTTACACCCCAACCGAACCTCCACAGCTACAAACTGCATAAAACCAACTCAACTTAACATTTCACAATTCACAAGCACATATCTCAACAACAACATTCTAACAATCACATATTCTCAACAACAAGCTCAATATTCATCAATTACAACCTCCACAACTACAACCTGCATAAAACCAGCCCAACCTAACATCTCATAATTCACATAGCACACAGCTCAACAACAACACTCTAACAATTACATATCCTCAACAACATACTCAATATTCATCAATCAAAGTTCCACAGAAACGCACTTACAAGATCAGCAAAACATAATATCAAGTTCACTAATGATAAATATGTGTAATGCAATGGAATGCAATGTCAAGTATAGTGATGCATGTCTGACCTAGTGATACACACCCGCTGTCTCTCAGTCCGGGACCCATGGGGGACATATCTGTCCATACATCCATCGCAGGACCCTTGATAATAGTAACCATCGCGGCGCGCGATACGTTCCTTGAAAAATAGTATCCATCACGGCGTGCGATACGTCCCTTGAAATGGTACATCCTTTTTAATTTCTTATTTTTTCCCAATTCACATAACACTTGTCACAACCATGTCTCAGAACAATGCAAATGACATGTTCACACAAATAATGAAGAGATGACCATTTTCATAACATTGCACAATTCACCACAACACAATCATGATACAACATCAACAATGATTCAACAAGTCTTTCAAACCATTATCAATTATCAACACATCACACACAAACAATTATCACATTGCCTTTTATTACCCCTTTTTCATCATTATAATTAATCAATGTGGACAAGTCCACCCATCACCAAGTCTCATTACTCCCAAACACATATTACAAGGAAATACACGAATTCCATACACTTAACACGCGTTTAGAAATTCACTTGCCTCAAATAACTGAACAATCACTCCGGTACTTGAGCCTTCCCTTTTTGTTGAGCTTCCAAATCAATGCAATCTATTCAAGTACATATTCACAATAAGATTTCGAAACTAACAACACCCATATTAGTATAGGTTTAGACTAGACCCAAAAACTCACCCAAAATCATAATCAAGTTTCTAAGTTTCATGCCTAGGGTTAAGCTTCAACTTCTCTAATATCATAAGTCTAATGATATTCATATAATTCGATAATCCAATATTTAATTACCTATCTCAATATATTAAATATTTAATTTATAATATGATATTTAAAATAGGAACAACTAACTATGAAATCTACTGGTCACGCAAATTCATGGCAGAACCATGAAAAATACACGAAAAACCCAACAACTTTTCCATTCATGACAATGATTACATAATTTCATTAATAACAATTACACCCACCTTATTTTCAATTCAAATTTCCCTTCTGTTCAACCCCAACAACGTACTGACAATATTTTGTCTCTTTTCTTTTAAAAACAAACAATTTCCAACCATATCCCTTAACAATAATACCACCCTAAGATATATATATACAATTTTACAAAGAATATTGATTAGAACTAACCTGAACCACTCGAATTTTCCTGCTTCTTTGTTTTCTGTCGCACGTCTACGTTAGTTTTTCTTTCGCCTCTTCTTTTTTTTCTAAATTAATTATATATTAACATTAATAATTCCTACTAACCTATTTTAACAATTCAGACTTGGTCCATTATTTTTAATAATAAATAAATTACTCGCAAATTAATTAATTATAGATAAATGGCTATTCAAAATTATCAAAAATGACCTTTCGGGTCTGGGTCATTACAATATACAAGAAGCAATAAGCAGTGAACTTGATTTTTTAAATTCTCTAAGCACCACAATGCAGTTCCTTGCTTGAACTCTTGATATCCTACATAGTTGGGACCATAGGCGAATCTAGGATTTGAAGGTCCTGGGTGTCGCATTGTTCAAGTAAGATAAGCGGGATCGGTTGCTTTAATTTTGCGTTACAATCGAGTTATATATCTTTTTTCGATTTATAAACAAATCGATTAAACATGCATGTTAGTAATAATATTCATCATTTTTAAAACTTATATTTTTTTTTAAACTACTATTTAAATATATTCTTAATATAATATTTATGTCAAGCTCATAATTCAATACTCATTAATTGATAAAGAATAAACATGCGATACTCATATCAAGAGATTAATAATTAATGAAAGAGAAAGTAAAAGCTTAAGAATTAATTATGGTGAATAGGATTAGATTTGAATTAATAAAGAATATTACTAAATAAATAAGAATGAACTGAAGGAAGGAAAAAAAAACCTTCACACGTTAATAAAAATGACAAAAAAACAAAAGAAAAAAGAAAGAAAGAAAAAGCTTCCAAAAAATTAATGGAGCAGATGAGGTTCGAACCCGCGCTGCCCGTGTGGCAAATTGCCTGTTTTGCCAATTGGACTATTCACTATATTATTTAGTGGGTGGCAAAGAAAATATATATTAATTTTCTTGTACATATATACATATATATACAAAGCTTTTTCCAAGATCAATGGGTGTCATGGTACCCCACGGAGTACCCATAGATCCGCCCCTGGTTGGGATATATATATAAACAAGAAGCAAGCTGAAATAAGTGTTTCAAATGAAGCTCTGTATTGATTGTTGGAGGTGTACACTAAGCACATAATACAAAGAAATAATTATATTATACAGTGTCATACGGTAAATTCTTGATTATAGTCATATTGGGTGCGTGCAATGCACGGACATCCTTCATCTAGTCTCTTTATATCCTATTTTAACTTTAACTATTTCTTTTTAAAATGAAAAAGTAGACTTGCCATATCAATTTATCTTAGATAAAAATAGGTAGAGTAAAATGACTTTTGAAAAGAAAAGAAAAAGGCAGAATGACCTAAAAGATCCATGTACTTGGTTGCATTTGTCAGTTGTACCCTTTTATTCATTACTTTGCCAAATGAGTACTTAAAATCGATGAAACTCTATTTTGAACCCCTCTGACCATTGACCAAACTTATGTGACATAAAAATGGCTAAGTTGGATAATTGCGTGATTACACGCGTTTTGCAGCAAGTGACTACAATATTTTTATTTTTAAAATATTAAATTACACAAGAAAATAATAGGAATATTTTTTTTTTTTAAAAAAACAAATCATTTCTTCTTCTTCAACCCCACCCACCCCTTCTCTTCTGGGAGAATGAATTATAAGTGGCAAAAAAGTGTTGAAATGTAAAAGGAGTGACTCTAGTTTTAATTATTAAGTGTAGGGGACAAATTTTTAATCAATTTTTAAAAATAATTAAATAGGTCTTCAAGTTTTTATTTTTACACTTTCACCCAAATTTAAGTAAAACCCTGATTTCTAAAATAGGAAAACCCCCCAAATCAATTTTTTTTTGTTCTCTCCCAACGTCCCGCTCTTTTCACACTAGCGCTTCTTCTTCTTCTTCTTCTTCTTCTTCTTCTTCT